GCCTGCGTCGTTAGGGAGTGCCGGGGACGGCTCCCCGTGCTGGCGTCACCTCCGAATTCCTGGCATTCTCCGCTTCCTTCCCACCTACCTGGCCATCGATAGCAATCATCCCGATACTGATGTGGTGGCAGTGCCGGGTCCCCCTTCCCCGGTTTGGAGTAAGAGCCCTCTTGCGCCCGGTGCAGCCCCTTCACCACCTCATGGAGTGAGCGGACCAGTCCCGGCTCCACAGGTCAGGGTTGGAAGAAGGGTTGGTGCTTTACAAAGGGTCTGTCACAGCAGACTTGCTCCATCCTCCCCATTGCTGCCGCTCTCCAACATGCCGCCAGCTGGTCCAAAGGAAAGAATTCAGCTCCTTGCTCTTTTGCCAAACCAGGAACCAGCAAATGATTTTCCACTGGAGGGAGAAACCCAGTTAGGGATGGATTTGCTGGGAAGCTTTGGTGATGGATGCAGGTGATGTGTCCCCACCAAGGCAAATATCAGGTCCCGTGGGTCTCTCCTCCAGCCCATTCTGCAGCAGGCCTCTTCCATGAGAAAATACGTATTTATTGCTGGTCAGCCAGTCCCTGCTATAAATAGAAGGCTAGAAACCCTCCTGGTGTAATTCCTGGGGGAAAAAAAGCTATTCCTTCTCTTCCTCCTGCCGTTTTCTACCAGGTATGCATCATCTCTCACAGGGTTGTTTCATCCCCCACCACTGTGACTTGCTTGCAAACTGCTGAGGTCTGAGGCAGACATGGGGCCAGTGAGGTGCAAGAGAGAGAAATGCTGGTGCCAACGCTGCACTCCGAGGGTCAGGGGGGACAGGGGCCATGGGGTTCCCTCCTCAGAGAAACCCTCTTGCAGTTTGGGATTAGGTTTTTCTAAAGGGAGCCTTGCCCTTGGAGGGCAGTGCTGGTGGGACTGCAAGATCTGCAGATAGGCTCCGGCAGGGTGTAGTGAGAGCACACAGGGACCCCAATTCCCTCCCTCACAACAGGCAGCAATTTTAAGCAGTGCCAGGAGGATTCCAGGACCTTGTTTCTCCTGCAGACCCTCGGGGTCCACTGAGGCAGGACTAGAAGATGCACTGGCCCCAGTTTGTTGCTGGTAGGAGGGAACAGAGCAGGGGGACACAAAGGGCACCCCACTAATTGCCTGGAATTCCAAGGAGCTGCAGGCAGCAGGAGGAGGGCCCTGCCTGCTTGGGCAGCCCTGGGGTTTTGTCTCCCTGCCAGCCCAGCTCCTGCGCAATTCCTGTGTTTTGCAGAGTAACAAAGGCTTCTCCCAGCACAGGCAGAGCTGGTGCTCAGGACTATTTCTCTTACAACACCTGGGTGCTTAGAGACGTTAATTTGGGCTTAAGGCTTCCCACCCTCCCTTTTTCCATCCCCTCCCCTTCCATCCTGCCTGATCATTAACAAGTTTGGGCTCAATGAGTCAAGGAGGTGTGTCACTGCAGTGTCACAGAAAAGGGCTAAGGGGAGGAGGAGGGGGGCAGAAAGAAATGCAACATCCCCCCCCCCAGCTACAGTTACCTACAGTCCCCCCAGCGCTGCTGGCAGCAGGTAAAGGGGCAAAGCTGCAAGTGGAGGAAGGCCAAGTGCCAAGTGGTGGTCTGGTGGAGCTGGTACCTTAGCAAGCACATAACCCTGTTGGAAAGTACAACAGGGTGGGGTATGTTTCCACCTGAGAGATACGAGGGGAAGCTATGCCAGAGCTCCCTTTTTCACAGCATCCTTCCTACTGCTGCTCCCCCTTGTCCTCTGAATCCAAACCCCAAACCCTCTCCTTTTTCCCAATCCCTCATCCTGGGTAATGCAGGTAATTTAAGGATGAGGGTGGCTGAGGCAGAGAGCTGGGCACTGGTCAGTGGCTTGGTGGGGACGTGTCCTTCTGCTGTGAGGCCACTTTCTAGGACACATAGCGACAAGCATTGCTGGTGAGGCTGAGCAAGCACTCCTGGGCTTTGGCCGAGGGATCAAAGATGGGGTCTTCTTGCAGTGGGGTGCCACAACCTTCTGTCCTGTGCTGCCCCTGATAGCAGCCCCTTTGCCATCTTCTCAGTGGACTCCCTTCTCGTAAAGGGCTGAAACCTCATACTTCTTCCCCAAAGAGTCTCTCCCAGTGTGACACTGAGCACCCTGTCCTTCTGCTCCTGGGGAAGATCCAAAGGCAGAGATGGGAGCCCAAACCCCAGATCCACCTGTGTTTCAAGAGTAGCCTCGTCCCTCCTAATGCACATGGAAGGAAGCAACAAGCTGGGAGGTCAAAAACTAGGAAAGAAGAGAAGAGGGGCTTTGTGCCACTGGTGTAAATACCAAACACAACTCTGACTTGAGTTCCTCGTGGTTGGGAACAGATGATCAAAGCACCACGGCAGGGCCAGCAGCCCACTGGCCATGGGACAGATGACTCCAAGGGTTGTGTGGGGCTGGCAGCAACTCTGGTTCTCATCCGGCTGATCCATGCTTCGGGGGCTGCCTCTGCTTGCGTGGTCCGTGGCAAATCAACATTCCTGGGGTTTCCTGAGCAGACTCGTGTTGGAGTAAACCTCTTAACTTATTTATTTATTTATTTATTCTTATGATTCTATTTTTAATCGTATGTCAGAGTGGATGCAGGTGGTCACTGGTACCAGTATTTATTTATTTATGTTGTTTTGGGGTTTTTTTTAAGCAGTAAGTTATTTTGGGATCTGTTTGTTTGTTTGAATGTATCCATGCCACTGTTCTCGTGTGAAGGTTTACAGCCCTGGCCCCTCTTGGTGAGGAGTGACAGTCACTCCTGCTGCCAGTGTTTCCCTTTGGCTGCGCTCTCTGGAGCAGAGTGGGGAAACAGAGGGATGCAGGGCAGAGCCATTGGTCTGTTTTCATGTTAAAATCCAGGGGTTCTCATTAGATCTGTGATGGATGTGACCACAGAAACGGGTCTAGGACCTCACGGAGGTGACGGTGAGGGTCTGCTCATTGGCTGGGGTAGCACTGGACTGCGTGTAGGGGGCTCATTGGCGGGTCAAGCACTGGGGTGTCTGCAGTGCTGCAAGGGGAAGTCTCACCCCATCCATGCTCACCCTGCTCCGCGCTCGCCCGGCTGGGTGCCAGCTGGCTGCTGCTGCTGTTTGCCTTGGCTCCGCACAGCCCGAAACCGAGTGGCTGTGCAGAGGCCCCGCTGCTCGCCCTGGGAGGATGCCGTCGCCAGGACTCCCCTGCCCTGTTTATCCATCCACCCATGGAAAAACTAAAGGAATGAGACTGTGAGAGAGTGAGCCAGGCTGAAGGTGCTTGCAAAATCCCAGCTGTGGTGACAGGACCCAACCGAGCCCGTGTGTGTACGTGGATGTGCGAGTACATGTGCAGATGTACACGAGTTTCCCTCAGTGGTGGTATTTATTTTTTACCTTATTTAAGATCTGTAGAACAACTGGAACATCACCCTCCCTGTCAGTGGAAGCTGGGTTTCCTGTTGCTTTGCCTGAAGCCTGTGAGCTTTTCTGTCTGTGCCTTTTGCCAGCACTTGCTTATTTTTTAATGGTGTTTTGCTCACTCGTTGCTTTCATGGACTTTTGCTCCGCGTCCAGCATCTCAGCTTGCTGCTGGTGCTCTCTGCAATGAGAGCATTCAGCTGGTGGAAAGGCGACTCAGTCATTCAGTGTTGGTGAATAGCTGTTTGCCTGCAGTTGGCCTCACGAGGGATGCCCAGGGCTGGCCACAGCCTGAAGGCTTCATGAAAACATCTCAGCTGGTTTTTGGAGGCCCTATTTCAGAGGGTTTTGCTTTCCTCAATCATAGGCTCTTTCCCACCCATGATTTTGTTTCCATCCCATAAGCACCCCAGTTGCCTTTCCCCAGCAGAGCACACCACAGCACCCATCCCAAATGTCACCCTGACCCCAGAGTCGTGCTGTAGGTTCCCCCTGCTCCTGGGACTACCTTGGTTGTGGGATTATCACACTGAGCGAGGCTCATCCCACCTCTCCCAACCTCTGTGCTGGGGCCAGGCTCTAGACAACCCAACGCAACCTCTGCAGGTTTGCTGGGAAGCAAAGATAAGGGATGTTTGAAAGCACTGCTGTGTTCTTTCTTTTCTTCATGAGTTCCAGCACCCCGCTGGCCTTTGCATTATGTTGACTGCAGCTTTTCTCAATGTTTTTGTTGCTTTGGGGGATTGAATTTGTACCAAACTTGTGTGCAACAGCCAATCACTGTTATTTTGCTATGCATTGTACATACATTGAACAGGCTGAGAGGACTTGGCCTCTATTTAATATTTATTTCTTCTATTTATTGAGCATTCCTTTAAAAAAGCTATTTGGGTCTTGCCATTGGGTCCATGAAGGTAGGGAGCTTTCGAGGAGTTGCCATATATGTTAGAGACAGGTTATCAGAGAGGTGGATTTACTGCTAAGTGAGGCTGTCACTTACCAGCATGGAGACAAATCAGGGTCATCTGGAGCTCAACTGCCAGTGATTCAGAGGAACCTCATTTAGATGAAGATGAGCAAAGCAGGGGAAAATCCTCCATCTTCTTGGACCAGCTTCTGGTGACAAATCACAACCCCTGGAAAGGTGCCAGGCATTCAGAGGCGGCAGGCCTGTTATGGTGGAGGAATAATCCTGCTTTTCCCCCTCTGTGCCATGCAGGGCTGCCTGGATCCACAGAGATCCCTGGAGATCTCTGATCTCCCATCACTGGCCCCCTCTTGGCTCTCAGAAGTTAATGGGGGACTTGTCACCCTTTCATTGATGTGATAAAAGGGATAGGGCTGAAGTGACTTGCCATGGTCTCTGCCAGGCAGCAAGGATGTCCACCCTGCCCCATCCTGAGACCCTCATGCTTGTGTCCTACTTTGCCCCCTTCCACCCGCAGGGCACCCATCCTTGGGGCTATCAGGATATTTGTTTGAGAAAGGGACAGATTCAGGTGCCTGACTTTGCCCTTTAGTGTCCAGTGGGGTCTTATTACCTCCTTACCAGAGAATTCTC